TCAGGGGAGCTTGATATGAATAATTCCCAAAATATATGTAAATCCTTTTTAAAGAACATTTGTAGATCAAATTTATTTAAAATGGATTCAATATTTTGAAGCCATTTCCAACTCAGTTTTTCTTTAAGAGTAAAGAGAGCCCTAAATAATAATCTTGGCCAGCGGTGTTCTTCCATATTTTTTAGTCTATAAAAGTAAGTTAATAATCTTTCTGATTGAATAGATTCAATTGTTTGCCAGCCAAGTTCACCATATAAGGCTTCCTTTGCGACATATCTCGGTGCTTTTAATAGGTATCTGGCCATTTGGTATTGTAAATTTTCAATTTTGTCAATAGATGTTTTGTTATTGCAAAACCATATACTGCTTGCATAATTTATAGTTGGTATTCCAATCGCTTTCCAAAGAATATCCCCATAATATATTCTGTTAAAATCTTCCTGTCCATTAATAATAGATTTTATATACAATATTACTCTATTTACCTTTTTAACTATTTCATCTATGTGACAGGTATCTTTTATTTTTCTAGATATAAACATTCCCAAATATTTATAATTATTAGCTTCATTAATGAAATTATTACCAATTGGCCATTTCCTATATATATTAAAGCGTTGCCCAGTTACAATGGGACTTATCAAAATTAAAAATCATTTTCCATTTTCGTGATCTTATAATTTTTTGCTTTATCTCATTTTTAACCAGTATTCTTTTTTGTTGATAGTCATTCCATAATTCATCACACATTTCTTTTTCATGGCTATTAGTCCTAACAAAATGCCTATGTTTTCTACTAGCTGATCGTCTTTCTTTTATCAGGTTATTAATGTCAGGATCCCACCAATGTTTCTTTTTGCGCTTGTTTTGTTTAATTCCAATTGTTTTTGTTGCAGCGCGAATAACCTTAGATTTCCATGAATCTCATAGGCTATTTGCCGCTGTAAATGCATTTGGATCCCACTCCTCAAATTCATTAGACAGTTCTGTTTGGTAATCTGTCCAGTTCTGATTTTTTTAAATATTCCAAATAATATTGTGTTCACTTTCATTAACTTTTTTGGTGTCTACATAGGGTCTCATAATTAGTTTTAAGAGTAAAACATTATGGTCGCTTCCCATATGGAATTTATGGTCTTCATCTACTATCATTTCTTTAACAAAATCATCGATTAAGTTTGTTGAGGCAACCATATAATCAATTGTAGATGATTGATCTTTTTTAAACCAAGTAATTTTACCATGACACAAACGAGTTCGATTTAATATTTTAAGATCAAGGTTGTCACAAAAATCCATGAAGCGCACACCATTTGAATTTACAACAGGATCGCCATAAGGTATTGCGTCACCAATACGGCGTTAAAATCCCCCATCAGAAGGATGCGTGCTTCATCATCATCGCTTTTAATTTTTAAAACATCCGCAAGAAGCTGTGTGTAGAGATCATCAGTTTGTTGAGCATCTACACCCTCAACAGGGAAATACCCCACTTCGAGATACATGTGTACATTATTGGTTCCTATGCTTGCAAGCATAGGAACTTTTAAAATCCTGCTCGTGTGTATGTAGTATGTACATTACTAGTATGTTATGCAGTTTTTTGTAAACAGGCAAACGTGACTTTCCAAACATCTGTTTGTTTTGTGCGTCCGTACCCAAGCTAATCTGGATATTTTTTATATATTTGTGCCCTATTTCATAGTTTTCTATTTTGACAAATATTAAAGCCATACTAATGAGAGACAATACCCCCTACTCTTGAAAAGACTAGTAAACTGTATGATAAGAGGAAAACATTTATGGAATGTTGTGTACTCTCGTTGTCCAAACTAACTGTCTTAAATGTAATGGATCTGACTTTCCTGGCTGGTATGGATATAAAACTTTATCTGCACTCCAAAAACCTCAATTTTATACTATTGCAGTTTGGATAAGGTTCTACAGCAGACAGAATAGAATTGTGTCATTTTCAACAAGATTGTTGTAGTCTGGGCCTAGCTATTAATTTAATTAATTTATCAAAGTCCTGGATTCTTTTGACTAGGCCTAGCCTACCCTACACAAATTCAACACATTATCTATTTATACGTACAGTACCTGTTGTTTTGCTGTACTGCTCAGTAAATTTAATTATTACCAATAAAATTGATGCGATTTTTATATTGTTTTTGCGTGCATTTCTTTAGGTCTGATTATGTTTTTCCAAGCACACATTCTTCGTTGGGTAATGCACAGTGTGACCACTCACAATTTTTGATATACCCAATGTCTGGGTCGAATTACCCAAGATTCAGCAAAAATTGCCCAAAATTACCCAAGCTTCCTGAAAATGCATTAAAATTTGAAAAATACGTGTTTTTCGCATGTATAGTTTCCCTTTTAGTTCAATTTATCAACCAATTTTTTATTGTAATTGTTTGTGTTAATTATTAAAATTAATATTCATGAGGTGATAATACAGATAGAAAAATACGCCCTCAGTCGGCCAGTGTTATCAGTAGATCAGTGATCAAGTTTTATTATGTAATGCATTAATTTGGTAAGATCAATGGCAACATAAATCACAAATAAACAATTCTGAACCCATGTTTATAGCAATTAACAGTCAATTAACAATGTTATGTGCACTTCGTTGAGTTTTGCTAACTTGAATGGACTGAAATATACTTTGTTACTTCTTAATTCTTCCTCTATGACAAAAATATTTAATTTTCTTAGTAAAAATAAAATACCCAAGGATTTGAACGGAATACCCAAGAACCCAAGACCAAGTCAAAATACCCAAGATCTTGGGTAAATACCCAAGCAGTGGTCACGCTGGTAATGCTGATCGGCAGTCTAGTTGTAAACAGAATAGGTCGCGCCCCCAAAAACTCTGCCTGCCCGCCAATTGGTCCATTTTCGTGGGCTGTTTTGCACTAGACATGTGCTTCGGCTGTGATGACGTCAGATCGCCCAAAGTTTCATAGTGCGTGACAGTAAACAAGCTCGGTGTAATCAAGAATGTTTTGTTTAACAAATTTATAAAACAAAGCAAAAAACAAATAAGAAACCCTCATGGTATTATTTTAAAGTCAAATCTAAATAAACCTAACAAATTAGATTTTATTCTCTACAAATTTCCTCCGTAATAAAATTAGCAACATGTTTTTAATAGCATCTTGAGGTGCATTTGCAATTTACACTGACGAATCTAACAAATTTGAATTAGACGTCTACTAAAAAGAATAACCAGTAGGAACTTGCTTTGTCGAGTTCCGTCTTTATTTCAGGTTGATTCCAAATGGTTTTTAAGGATTAAAAGCAAGAATATACACTAATTAAAACATTGGAATGTGTACCTAAATTTCACTTCATAAGTAACCAACAAAACGTCTACTGCCGTGCCATGTTAATCAACGGATAATCTCCATGGCAATGCGAGTACAGTTAAACGTCTAGTTTTCACAGCGTGTGGTATGCTTGTCTATTTAACTATCGTCTGGTTTTTCCAGTGAGTATTACCATCCTGAATTGGACAAATCGTCCGAGATTCGGAATAGGGAGTTCATGTTTTCAGGAAAGTATTTTATTAAAAGACGAATAGGAATGATTTTGGGACTTAAAAAAATGTTCGGTTTTGCGTGATTCGATTTTGTGGGCATTGAGTACACATAGTATTGTTCTATGTTAATATTTTTTTTTTTTCGAAAATTTGCAAGTCGAAATCTGTATAACTCGATCTTTTTATGCCAGTCCCATTAGATTCGACTTAGGCGGAGTCGACTGTATTTGCGAATGCCTCAAGGCATCAGCCCCGGTGCCCCAAACTCTTTCATTTACATGCTATAGCAGATGATGTTCTTTATCACTGGATGTGGTGAAACACTTGCTGAAGAAACTCAGGATGAAGTTAAGTCCCACCAGAAGCCCAGCCATATTTTATCTGTAAACATGAACTCTCCATATTGGACAATGTAGTCTTCAAAGGAGACAGACTGTCTTTTGGCACAAAACACAACTGATTTGAAAGACTCTTTTTGTAAATGTGACATAAGTAATACATTCCAACCTGAGCAACCAAAAGAACCACTAAGATTGGAATTGATCTCATGTCTGTAGATGGTCATCATTACCTTGTAATGGTATAGATTATTATTCAGACTATTTCAAACTCGATCATACGACAAGCACAAACGCAAAGTCTGTTGTCAAACGACTCAAGTGACATTTTTTAAAACACGGCATTCCTCTCACAGTGCAGAGCGATAATGGACCATCATTCAATTCTTGTGTATTAGCCAACTTTACTACAGAATATCAATTTACCACAATGAATAGCCAATGGAAAGGTTGAATCTGCGGTTAAAATAGCCAAGACTCTTGTTCAGAAGATCTTGATCCCAAACAAAGCATTACTCACATGGAGAAACACTCCTACTGCTGGATTAGATAGCTCTCCAGCACAGCGTATATTTGGACATTGAACAAGAATGTCTCAACTTTGAGCTCACATCAAACCAAACATTCCTGAGAACCTCACAGAGAACAAACAAAAATAGCAACAAAAACAGAAAGAATCCTTTGATTGTCGTGCAAAAGAACTTCAGCCAGTTGACATTGTTAGAATGAAACCTAAACCGCACTGCAAAGAGTGGAAGAAAGCATGTTTCAAAGAAATTTGACTTAAACGTGAACTGTATATACCATTGATGTGATAGAGTACTAGAGAGATAAAAATGCGTCGATCATGTGTTAAAAGGTTACGGTCATATGTTATATAGAACTTCTAATATGGTTATTAACCTGATGGTATTTAAAATATTGAGTGATGTTTATTAACACTGTTCTTAAGTTCATTCATGTTTTTTTTTTAGTTCACCGTTTGGTTATCAAAGTCTAATTGCTAAAATACACTTCGGATAGTCACACATGGCTATGCAATAAATACTCAACATGCTATATTTAAAAATTATTACCTTGTTTGAATTTAATTTTCTTTTCATAATTATTCGTAGGTGTCTGCAATGCTACCAGACAAGTATTTTGAGCAGGAAATACGTGTCTACTGTAAGGAGAAGGCAAAAGCTAAAACTGCAAAAAGTAGTTTAAAACTTTGGATTGCAGGAAGGAAGCAATACACGTTCATGGTAAAATATATTTTATTACTCATTTATACTGTACAGATAAAAGTTTTTAGCAATGGTTAAGATGCAGTCTTAAGCTACCCCTGTCCAAAGTCACCCCTCTTCAAAGCCACCTAATAATGGACTGTTCCATTGTAAAGTAGGGTGCACAATGGGGATGTTTGTTTTGATCTAGCTGTACAATAGAATTAGACTGCTAGGGGTTTTTTTTTTGCATTAGAACTACATTACCACAATGTAATTGTGTAGTAGCAATTTGATATTGCGAGTAATAATAATATGTCGCTCTTATATAGCACTTTATGCATAAAGCCTCTAAGCACTTCACATTACTAACCCGGTCATTGGATCAAACACATACCTGTACTCAGCTCCCTGGGGAGAATTCCATAATGATGCAGGTAGTAATCAGCCCAGATACCCACTTGTACTCCTGGTTGGAGAGAGGTAACCGTAGATAAAGTGCCTTGCCAAGGACACAAGCGATTTGCACAACAAGAGTTTCGAATCCCCAACCTCGAGGTTGGGAGTCATAGCCACAAACGATGCGCCAACCGCTCAAGTACCTTTGATTTATTCTAGAAATGTGTTTTTTTAAATATTATTTATTTATTGAGAAATGAAAATAATAATATGATAACACATGATATTTAAAATAATGATATCTTATTTTGTTGAAATTTCTTAATATCAAATCCAATTATTTTCTTATGTACTTTATATTTATATAAATACAGAAATTATTTGGTTCTTTAATCAGTATATGCCTATTTTCTTATAGAATTGAATGGTACTTTTTAACTCGCCTATAAATTCTTTAGTGAATTAACATTTGTTTGTAATTTGTAGTACGACTTTGAATTTTAAGACGATTGATGTTTTTTTTAGTTTTACTAACTTGTGTTGTGTTTGTTCTTTAGAGAATGAACATTTGTTATTCTTTATGTCTGGGATTTTTTTTACTTGCAGTCCTCGTCTTGACTATGGCTTTTAAACTTGCAATACGAAAACGCAATTTCACACTTATGAATGTATTCATGTTGTGGGTAAAAAGCCAGTGGATGAAATACTTTATGAATATTATGCTAGTAAAGTTTAATGGTTATAGCAATAATTATAAAATAAAATTTAAAAAATCTTATTTTCGTGTTTTTTTTAAATGACTTTTTGTGCAATAATAATGAACTACAACAGAACTGGATTTATTCAGATGTAGTGGGTGCCATAACACAATACATAAAAACTAGACTTATTATGTATGTTTGTACAACAAAACATAGGGCTTTTCCTCACTGCAATAATGAGGAGTGATGTTGAACTTGCAACACAAAAAGTCGTTAATAAGTATAAAGTAAAAAACACAGAAAACATAAATACTAGTGAGACTCGAACTATAGCTGCAATGGTAAAATAGCAAAGGTGCTATGGATATCCATAACCATTGCACGCTATGTGAGCCAACCCTGGGTAGGTCAGTGTATTTGTAGTTCATAGCTACTGCTGGGAAAAACCAATAAGAATAATAATCAGTATTTATATAGCTCTTAATGTTGATAACTTCTAGGTGCTCAACAACATAATAAACAAAAAACAATAAAAAGTAAAAGTAAAATTAAAACAGAAATAAAAAAAAGCAGCGATGCAGGAGATGGTAACATTCAAGTGGTCTCACCCACCAATGTCAAAGTAAGATCGCTGTCTCAATGAGGCAATTTACACGCAGGTAATCCACAAAAGGCAGCATGCTGGGCTCCGGCACTTTCCACCACAGGATAAGACTGTGGCTCCACTACCGTGCTCTGCTGAGACAACGACGTTACCTTGAGTAAAGGAAAAGGTGAGGCCACACCTGAAAACCACAATAAACATCCTGTAAAAATTAAACAGTTGAAAAAAAGGTGAGTTTTTAAAAACGTTTTAAATGATTCAACGGAGTCAGCATTTTTGATATGATCTGAAAGTTTGTTCCAAATAATAATGATAATAATGACAATGAAACATTACATATACTATTATGCATTATGTAGGCCTGTATTTCACATTCATTCATATTTATTACATTGTAATTTTAGTCTTGACATATCCAATGCTTAAATCCGTTTGTGTCCTGAAAGAAATGAAATATAAAAGTTATAAATAGTACATTATAAAAAACTTTCTTAGCTAAGGCCAAATAAAATAAATTGTTTGTTTGCTCTTCTTTTTTTAAAAACGATAAATAGGGGCAGATGGAAAAAGTTTTTTTTTTTATTAATTTATTTTTTAAAAATACTCATCAGATGGAATAAAAATAACCCACAGAGGCCTAGAATTAGACTAATCTGTAGGGCATCTGGCAAAAAATAAAGATAAATTCACTCACATTTTTAAAAAATTTGTTAAGAAAAAGCTGAAAAAAACAATTTTTTAATAATAAACACTTGTTCACCACAATGGTGTTTTTCAACAAGGCGTAAAGGCATTGTACAACTTGACAAAACAGAAATTAAAGCAAAAAGGTAAAAAATCACATTAAGGCCTACTGGAAGAAACTTAACTACATTAACTAAACTGAATTATCGTAAATAGTCTTACATCATTAACTATAATACTTTAATTGATTTTTATTTTCATTTTAAAATTTGAAATTGTATTTGAGTTTTGAGGGGAAAATTACAATAGGTATTTTTTATTAATTTAGTTAAAGCATTTTAATCATGCGATTGATCACACAGTTCTTTTACAGTATCTTAAGTTATCCTATTACCTGTGGTGCGCCACAGGGTTCTGTTTTAGGTCCAACTTTATATATTTTTATATATCAATGATTTGTCTTGTTCTACATCATATTTTAATGTTAGATTGTTTGCTGATGGTTCAAACTTATTTCACACATTTTTAAAAGACCAAAGAGATATAGATCACTCAGAAGTCAGTTTGTATCTAGAACACGTTAACCGGTGGTGTGGTGCAAATAAACTCACTATTAATACCACCAAGACACAATTCATTTTATTTAGGAGTAGAAACAAAACTGTTGTAACTGAAGGTCATGTGTTTTTGAAGAGGTAGAATCTGCTTCATTTGTTGGACTTATAATGAATAAAAATTTTAATTAGAAAAAGCATATTGAATACCTTAATATTATTTTAAGACGAAAAATTGGCATTTTAATTAAACTTTGACTATATAGTATAATATTATATTATTGCTTGAGGTACACCACATAGATAGTTCTGAAGGGAACTGTTGTTGTTGGTTGAGAATACCTCGACGTTGGAGCAACTCATTCGACACGTCGAAATATTCTCAAACAACAACAACATTTCTTTTCAGAACTATCTACATGGTGTACTGCAAGCATTGATATATATTATTACTTTGGGATGTAAACCTTCAAACAATATTTAGACTATATATATTCATCAAAATATTACGTTATTATTATATAAGACATTTATGCAACCTCATATAATGTATGGTCTTGAAGTATGTGGTAGTACCTTCCACACTTATTTAAATTGTATTTATTTAACTCAAAAGATGGCAGTTAGAGCTATGACTTTTAGTAATTACACAGCACATTATATACCATTGTTTAGTAAACTAAACATTTTAGAGATTTTTAAAATTGTATAAGCTCCTGGTTAGCGTTTTCATGTAAGATTTGATTAATTTACCACACTCATTTAATGAATATTGTAGTTTATTACATCATGATTACGTAACTAGACAAAGAAGAAGAGGAGATTTACTTTTACCAAAAATTAATTCAGATATAGGTAAAACATCTTTTTTTTTTTTTTTGCTGGTACTGTTATTTGGAATGAGTGGCCTCTATCTATTAGAAATAATGTACCTAGAATTTTGTTTAAAATTACTTTCACCGATCATTTATTGCTTTATGACTTTGAATAGTAAATTTTATTATATATCTGTGTATGCATATATATATTTATGTGTGCGTATTTGTATATGTACATTGTATTTATATACTTATTGTACAATGACAAGATATGATATAATTATTTTCTTTAAAAATAGCTGCATATATTTGTTGTTTAATGTAGGAATTCGGGGCTGGACTGGACTAGCTAATGTGCTATTTTCTAGTTTTGAATTAAACATTATTGTTGATTTATTTTATAATATTATATTTTCTTTTCTTATGATATTATGATATGTAGATAAATGAATAAAGAAAGAAAGAAGAAATATATGAGTTAAAATGCTAATAAATATCCCGGGACCCTTTAAGGGCTGGGGTCTCTGGCTTCAGCCAGTGAGAGCTAGGAGCTTACGCCACTGTGCTTTTGCCTTTTCCAATTAATTAAAACAAAACTCCTTTTCTAAACTCCGACCTGCTGGACAGACGCATGAAACTACTGCTAATATATGGTACTGGCATCCTAATCTACAATAAGGCCATATTAATAGCCTGGTTTGCTATGTCAGAAATTTGGCTCCAAATAGTTTTTTTGTGCCAAAATGGATTTTATTCTAAGCTAACTTTGTCATTTTTGATGTGCTGAATTAAAAAAAGTTTCTTTTTATCCAAGTCATCAGCTGCGGCCGACTTACTACATAAAACATGGTCATATTTGGTGCCAATAGAAAGGAAATTATACACTGATCCATTAATTCAATTATACTTACCTGTACAGTAATACATATTTACAGCGATATAGGCCAAATAATATAGTTGCGTGAAAAAAGGTTCAAAGGTCAAAAAATAAAATTCGCCAAAAGTTGTCATGTTTGTTATCGTTGCAAAGCTCTTCCAATGCTGAATAATGTTTTACAGTACACATATGTTAGAAACAGTGTAATTTTCTATATATTGTCCAGTAAAGTCCAATTATGGCATACCGTATTAAAATATACAGGACTCAATCGCGTAAAGCTTGTGAACTGGGGTGGCGGGTGGGGGAGTGTTTTCCTATTACTACACTTAGCACTTTACAACCGAGTCTTAACAGTGGCGTAACGCATGTGCTTTCTGGGTCAAGTCCGAGTACAAATGTGCCCTGGAGCCCACAGGGGTCCTTCTTACTTCTGTACTACCCCATCACTCTACTGCAACACCTTGACAATATGGGAACTTTTTCTATAATTTTCAAAAAAACCAAATGGACCAAAATGCCACAAACACATCATTAGTAGATTTATTAGAAGGGGTCCTTTCAAATACGACCTGGGATTTTACTATAGAGTTTTGATCGCTTATGGAATGCCTGTGTGCTTTCTAGAGAAATGCTTAGTTCCTCCAAGTCCAAATGAGCCCCAGAGAGGAATAAAGCTGTTTTTATATTTTCTATTACTAGGAGGAGAAGGATGAAATTGATTTTGACAACGAGAATACTGGCAGTCAAAAGAAAGTAAGAACATAAATACTTAGATGCAACCTAGATAATGGTACATATCCATATATAATTGTAATTAAATGTAGGACTGTTTTCCTTGGCACCACAACTATTGTTTTTGTAGTTCACTTGTGACACTGGAAATAAGATCCTCAATAAACAAAATATTGATCCTGTTTGTTTAGAGTGCTGCTATGAATATGAAAGTGTTCTTTTGGCAATATATTGAAACAATATTATGATTACAATAATAGAATTGAGTGCAAACGCTTACTCAAGAGTTTTTTTTTTAATGCAAAAATGTTAATTCTTGAAATGTACAGTATATCCTATTTTTTGCCAAAGTATCTGGCGTCAAATTTTAGATAGCATTAGACATAATCATTGACTTACAAGAGGGCCAGAGGTATGTTAGAACACTTGTGACAATCACAAAAGTTATAATAGTTATATGAAAATATGAGGCATTTTAACAAAAAACAACAAGTAGGATAATAAATGAATAATATCCACTTAAATATTATATATACATGTTTCAAATGGATTTGCTAAATTGTGTAGATTATTATTATTTTGTGCAATATTTGTAAAATAATTTCAGTTAATCAACGATCCGATACATGGAATCATTGAGCTTCACCCACTTTGTGTTAAGATTATTGACACGCTTGAGTTCCAACGCTTACGGCAAATCAAACAGCTCGGTTGTTGCTACTTTGTTTACCCAGGAGCTTCACATAACCGCTTTGAACATTCTATTGGGTATGTAAAATTCCAATATATTATTTAAAATTTAAGATCACTGTTTTGTAGTATTGGTTTATGCTTATTGTCAGTGGAGGATTGTGCCCCATATAGTCCAGTGACTAAAAGATTGACGCTGGGAGCCAGGAGTGCGCATTCACATTCCGCGACGACATAGGATATTATACAAATAATGAATGTTTATAAGTGCAATAAGTTGAAAGATTGACTGTTCTATTCAACAAGGTGGAGTCAAGTTGAATGGAACAGTCAATCTTTCAATTTGTGAAAATATTCTTCACTTTGCACAAATACATTACATTCTATTGTTTGATGGTTGCATGGCGAAGTAATATTATATATGCTTGCGGTACACCACGTAGATAGTTCTGAAAAGAACTGTTGTTGTAGGTTGAGAATATCTCAACATCTGGAGAAATCCCAAAACAGAAAATACTTATATGTTTTGGGTAGATTGCTGCTGATTGGTTGATTGCTGAAACCATGTGTGAAAAGGCTAATAAAAAACCAAAATTTACTAATGCAGTCTGTGCAAAAGGTGGAGGTGGGGGGGGGGGGTTGTGGTTAGAAAGCCAAGACAGTGGCATTGTTCTAGCTATGTGAGATCACATCCTGTTTCACCAGTGTGAATCATTCCACACTCACATGGAATCTGAAAAACTCCTGGCTAGCTCTGTGCTGGTGGTTTGTCCTTGTGTGTTAGAAGAATCCGGGATAGTTTGTTGGGTGCACTATAAAACACTTTAATATCGGCTTATAGAATGCGTTGAATACAGTGTGAAACCTGTCCTAAATATGGTAAACATACAAACTTTCTGGATTATGTATCATCTTGGCTATTGTTAGGTTTGGATATTTTGAAATCTCTCATGTGATAACCATTCAGTTTCAGGGCTTCTTTATAACATGCTGCACTTTTTTCAGTTTAATTCAATTCAGTCAATATTTATTTAGTATACAGTACAAATACCTATACTGTGATCAGTCATTGGAATAAAATTTTAAAATATTAAAAAAAAAGGCTGGGTGGCAACAGGCCTAGAGTGGCAAAAGGCCGGGTGGCAGCGGGCCGGGTGGCAACGGGCCGGGTGGCAACAGTCCCGGGTGGCAACGGGCCGAAACCCGTATCCAAGTTATGGTCTTGACAATTTCGGGACAATTTTCGTCTCTACAAGTTGGGTATATTTCCATTAAAACCATTGGTATTGTAATACTTCCCTCCAATTATTTGTTTATTTTATTACTATGGTGTTTTTTCATTATCATTATTAATATTATTATTATTACTATTATTATTATTATTATTATTAATATTATTATTATTATTATCCTATGCTTAATCTGCATTTGTAAGAGATTCAATTGTGTGAAATGCAAATTGTAACACTCAACTGTTGGGACTTGGCAGTACAGAGAAAAGAAATGATGTATTTGATTATCTTCGGACACTTAATTGTGGTGTATATACTGTCTGCAGGATATTGGACTGAAGACAGAGCGGATAACATAAAGAATCACTTGGGACTAGACTGTTATATGAGTTTCGGTACTAGCAATTCTCGCGGCACAGCGATTCTATTCGATAATAACCTAGAATACAAAATTAACTCTAAATAAATAGATCCAAATGGAAACTATATTATTCCATGGAGGTGATTATTCTTAATTGTGAAATCTTAGGATACGATGTAGTATGTGTAGTAAAAGTTTATGAACCTAATTTGGATTCTCCTAAATTTTTTACGGGGATCAAAAGTAATGTAGAAAACTAGAATCAACTCACCAAATTTGGTATGGTGATTGGAACCTGGTCCAGGATACATAAAAGGACTATTACAATTATAAAAATGTAAACAATCCAAAAGCCAGATCTGTTGTTTTGGAAATGAAACAGCAACTAAACTTATGCGACCGATGGAGGCAAATTAATGAATCGTCTAGCAGCCAGACCAGGTTTTGTATGCACTTTGAGGTCCAGAGAATTTGACTTCAGAAATTGGTTTAGGGTGGTCTAAGAATCATTTTTGGCTTGGTAAAACATTTTCAATATGTAGCGAAAGGTCAAAATGTCAGGGTCAAAGGTCATAGCTATAAGGTCTTCAAATCTCTGCAACTACTGGTGGTAGAGACTTAATTCTGTTATCTATTAGTTTAGAACAATCATCTTCTATTTCCTCTAATGGAACATTTTGCTAAAAAATGACCGGAAATGCCATTTCTAACTTTTCACACGTTTCAAGGTTGTAGCAATATGGTGATCATATCTCCACAACCACTGGTGGTAGAGAGTTAACCGTGGTGTCAATTTGTTTAGAACATTAATGTTTATATGTAGTCCAATAGAAAGTTAGAAAATGACAGGAAATGCCATTTTTGACCTTTGACATGCTTCAAATGTTATAGTTACTGAGTCCTTATTATCTCCACAACTACTGGTCGTAGAGTGTTGATTTTTATGCAGATTTGTTCTGAACATTCATGTTTCTATTTTGTTTAATAGAACATTTTACTAAAATATGACTGAAAAAGCCATTTCTGACCTTTGACATGTTTCAAGGTCATAGCCATAGTATCTCCACAACCATTGGTGGTAGAGAGTTAATTTTGGCACCAATTATTTGTTCTGAACATTCATGTTTCTATTTGGAATAGAAAAAATTGCTAAAAAATGACCAGAAATGCTGTTCTGTCCTTTGACATGTTTCAATGCATATGCCTATCCTTGTACATATTTTCTGTAGAGACTTGATAGTGATCTCAATATTCATTTACACATATTTCTGTTTACTTGATTGGACCATTTTTTAAAACAAATATGCCGATATGACCATTGACCCATGTCACAAGGTTTAATTTGGTCTAATTTTGTCAGTATACAATTTTATTTACAAGAAACATAATAAATCAGATCAAATGAAGTGGGTCTAGTTGAATATATGATACAAAAGTGACCTGAAGTGCACCTCCAGCTGACTAAGAGTTCAATGGATTTATGTCTCTGTAACTACTATACTGCTAATATAATATAATAATATCAATTAAAGCAAATAGGCATTTCATATCTGTAACTATTAGATGTAGACACTAATCAATT